CTTTTGTTTTCTTTTGTTTTGTAATTTAAAGATTATTTTTGATTGAATTTATTTATTTGAGAAAAAGGGGCAGATATAATAAGATTTTTTGTTCTGCTACCTTTCATTTAATTTATGATTGCTGTATGTTGAATTTATGTTGTTTTTTTAAAGAAATTAATACAACTTAACTAACTAACTAACATAGCACAAAAAGTAATGAAATGTGTGTTTGGTAGATTATTTCTTTGTTGTAACAATGCTTCTTGGCAATAAATTTTACACCATTGGAAAGCCTGTTAATTTCTCTTTTAAATGGTGCCACATGTGTAAGGAACATGCATGTGTGGGGTGAGCAGTAGAGTGGGTTACACACATGAAAAATCTGCCAAACAGCTTATTTAGCTGTCGCTATTGACTCTTGTTTTGAACTATGCAGCATTGTCACAACAAAGAAATAATACACCAAACACGCCTTTCATCACATTTTGTGCTAAGTATATATAGTTTTAATCAGTGCCTTGCAAAAGTATTCATGCCTTTTGAACATTTCTACATTTTTGTATTAAAGTGTTTTACTAGGATACACACCAACACATAGAACATTTCTGTGAAGTAGAAGGAAATTTTCACACTTTGTTTTAGATGTTTTTATAAGCTAATGATTGAAAAGTGTGGCATGTATTTGTATACAGCCCCCTTTGCTCTGATGCCTTCCATCCATATTCCATTGCGTATCCTCGGCTGGGTCAGGGGCCAACAAGTCCAGGAGTGGAAGACATCCCTCTCCCTRACAACACTCAACAGCTCCTCCTTGGGGGGTCTCAAGGCACATAGGCTATAGAGAATCCATAATCCCTCCAATGAGTTCTCAGAAAACCTCCAATCTCCAGGAGACATCGTTATTAGATGCCTGAACCACATCAGATGATTCCTGTCGATACAGAGGAGCAGCAGCTCTAATTACAGCTCCCAACAAATGATAAGACTGAGACCAGCCAACCTACAARTGAAGCTCATTTTGTCTGCTTCTATCTAGAATACATGTCAACCCCCTATAAACATGATCTCGACCCTCATAAATCTGTAATTTTTACAATAAATCTGAAGTACTCTCACATATTTTAAGGGGGTGTAGTTTGGAGATGAGAGATGGCAACCACAGGTGTTAGTTAACTGAGAACTTTGACTTTTAACTCAACTCTCTCACCTTGACAGACCAAAGCAATACTCAGTGTTGAACCAGTCCAAMCAGCACTGGGTACAAATTTTACTTCATGCTGAGGATGTGGACACAGCTTGTGCATTGGATGAACAGGGAATAGCTCTTAGATGTGTCAAAATGCCTTGTGGAACATGGTCATAAAMCTTCTCCACATCTACWAAACATGTAGGCTCCAGAATCAAACTTTTAGCCCCTCTGTGAAGGTCGAGAGCTGGCCAGCGGTTCCATGACCAGGATGAAAGACACTGCTCCCCCCGATGAGCTAGTCTATGTTGCCTGGAGTCACCGTGGCCAAGGACTTTCAGTCTGGGCCTGGTCAAGCCTAAGAAGACAAGTTTCGACCACCAGGTGCTCGGCTTCAGGCCTGGTTCCATTCAGGAGGGCCTCCCAGATTTCCCTTTTCCTGACAAGTTTTATGTTTTTTTCATCGAGGTTTTTGAACTGCCCCTGTCTCACCCCTCCATCAGAGGGTAATGCACTGAACAACAGACYCTAGGATCACAAAGGTGCTCAAACTCCTCCACCACGTTAAGGTGGCAGATCTGCAGAGGGGGTCATTCTAAAATCCAATACAACCAACAGTAGACACCTAATTACTAAATATAGTCCACTTGTGTGTAATTAAATGTCAGTATACGGTTTAAATTAGAGTTAGATTACAAAACAATATTCCAAGATTTGAACATTTCATTGAAAACTGTWWACTTCATCGTCTGAAAGTGGAACGTTGAATACATTTTCAAGGCACTGTAGGGCAGGACAGGTTTATTTGTACAGCACAACGAAGCCACAAGACAATTAAAAGTGGTTTACTTGAGTGACATATTGCATCTCCTGTAATCTCATCAACAATGTAAATAAAACTTTAGTTGTTTCAGAAAGGACTGGATGCTTTCTGTAGAACTAAACACAATCTTTTCATCSTTTCTTCTTTGTGACAGCCTCAACATTTCCYGAAAATATCAAGAAACTCTGTTCATAACTTTGTAATGTTGTGCACAGACAGACAGGATGTTGGAGCAATAATATGGTAATATTGCAGAACTGCAGCAGTATCTTTGTGTTATATTTACACAGTTGTACTCGCTGATGTGTCCCATCAGTGTGTGAATGTGATTTAAAGCACTGATTAGTCTCTACAGAATGATTTATCCACATTAGTTTTGTATAGAGACTTGGCAGAGTGTGGATGGGTAAATGAAGACACAGATTGTTGTGTGAAGCACTTTCAGTATCCAGTTTGGATAAAAAGGCACTACATAAGTACAGTCCATTCACCATAGCAGTCTAATTTACTGTTTACATTCTCGAGTTATTTCAACCATCAATGAAATCTTTATACCTTCTCCTGGTTTTCTTTTCCACTGTGCCTTCTTGTTTGCTCCAATTCACCAGAGGTGTCAAAAGTATTCACATTCATTACTTAAGTAGAAGTATAGATACTAGGGTTTAAAAATACTTTTTTGGAAGTAGAAGTATCAACTCAAGCTTTTTACTCAAGTAAAAGTATAAAGGTAATGGTTTTAAAACTACTAAGTACAAAAGTAAAAGTAATGAACACTTAAAAAGAAGCCATTAAGGATAAAAGCATTGTGGACTTGGAGAAGGCAGTCGACTGTGTCCCTAGGGGACTCCTGTGTGGGGTAATCCAGGAGTATGGGGTACCAGGTCTGTTGATATGGCTGTTAGGTCCCTGTATGACCAGTGCCAGAGTTTGGTCCACATTGCCGCTAGTAAGTCAGACTGGTTTCTCACCTGAAGAGTCTGCAGCTGAGAGTTGAACTCCCCCAAGGTTGCCCTTCTGGTCATAACTTTTATGGACAGAATTTCTAGGCCCAGCCGAGGTGTTGAGAGGATCCCTTTTGGTGGCCTTAGGATCACATCTCTGCTT